GCAGATTATAATAAAGGATCCATCAGCTGTAAACATATCGTACCAGGATGAGGTAACAACATCAATGCTGGTTTGTTAGATCTTATTTCATTTTCTTCACAATGGAATGGAAATAAGAGAACTAAATCACAGACCACAGAAATTAATTGAATTTAGAAATTGATAAAGATAATTTATTTAACCAGGTAACACCTGTTTAATCAATAGCAAAAAAAAAAAAAAATCTCAAAGTAGAACACATACAATCAAAGCTGATATAAAACAAAACAAAAGAATTCTACAGAAGAGATAAGTATGAAACAAATCTCGTTTTAGCAACTTATCTGAGTTGCATTTCAAAACATTATCAAAAAGTTCCAGCCCACATACCAAGATTTAGTTTTACAATTCTTTTTTGTTCTCTGTTAATGTGGTAAGTATGATGGATCAGGAGCAGAATCATCAATAATTAATTGCTATAAGCATAAGTGTTGCCTAATCACTTTGTGTAAACATTTATCTGAATGAAGCTTCAGATAACAGATAGTCATCTACATATTATATTATTTTACTATATAATCAACTCTTTAGTTTTTTAACATTTTTGGGGCCTTTGAAACATAATTCACTTTTTTTGTGCTGTAATTTTATACATTTTTCCAACATTGGGATGACATTAAATTTTTTATGGCACTTTTAAGTTTTGGTCTTTTTTGTAACTTTTATTCATATCACACCCAACAGCTAAGGATAAGCTGACAATTGTGACTAAGAAGAAGGTTTGCCACTGTTGTCAATCTTTACAACCACCTATACAAAAGAGCCTCGGTAACCAGTAGTGATGGTTGAATAAGAAAAATCTCACAAAAGGTGCATTTTCTGATTAAAATGTAAAAATGTCTGCTTATTCAAGAAAAGAAAAATATTTAAATATCAATTAGTCAGTTAAAGCCCAGAAATGTGTTTTTAAGCTCATTTCCCCATACAGAACCCTTAAATTAGCATCCATTATTTTCATGGTAGTTTAAATTTAAACACTTTCCTCTTTTGCTCACTACTTAAAGTGATTGTTTTGATTTATGAACAAGGACTGCTTGTAAAATAAAATGACTACAAATAATGGTTTAAAAGAATCTCTTCCTTGTGTGACAGGCAAGTTTTATAAAGAACAGGACAGCATGGTAAATTACCTAAACACTCTAATTGTACTCCACTGATGATTTCATTTTATCTAAAAAGGAAAGCCATAAACAAACTTGGTAATCATTTTTTTAAAATTTCTTTATCTCTATTCAATATGACATTGTGATTTCAATGTGAAAATAACACAGTGAAGTGAAGAATGCGTTCATATCTCACCTAGCACATTGAAGATCTTCGGTTTATTGCACTGAAAAAACCTTAGTAGCAATACATTTACATATAAGAATGAAGAGAACTCATTCAATAAATAATGGAGATTCAACTTATAGTAAGTTGTTTTAACCAACAAAAACCTGTAAATACTCAGTGCTAACAAAGGAAGCTCATGTCTTGGCAATATAGGTTTATCATCTTCATCTGACTTTAAGACTAAAATTGGTGCTTACATTCCATTTGAACAAAAAACTGGGATCCAAATCACAAAAATTAAAAAGCTTAAAATAATAATAATAATAATAATAATAATAATACATTCATTTCTTGTAACCAATAACCGTACATGCTCAGTAAAGCCCTTTTCACATCCAGCAGTACACTTTAGCAATGAAGTCTGTACCGGTACACCTTGACACCCTGGGAATTTATGACAAGACACATGAAATTGAGCTTCCGAGCTTGACATGGTCAATTATTTATCTTGACTATAAAGCCAATAGCACATTTGTGGAGAACTTGTGAGAGGGAGTGAAATCCCCTGGCAGTGGCATAATTTACATGTAAGGACCTTTCACAGTGTACCGATACAGATTGTATTGCTTAAGTGTACTGCTTGATGTAGAAAGAGCCTATCACCCTGCATAAATATAAAAAAAGTGTGATTTTATCACTGTCTGCATATTTTAAACTAAAAATGGCAGTACAGACCTGACATATAAGGTTACAGTGAAAGGAAGCCTCAAATATATGGTCATTCACATGTATGTACAATGCAATGATCATAATTGATGATTAACCATACATACAGCAAATATGTGGATGAAAGTACAATACAATATGAATCCCAAATGCTTACATAGTTATAAAAATCTCAAAAATTAGCCAATTAATATAAAACAGTGATCAAACAATACACAAATTTTTTTGTCATTGTTATGTTTTGTTTCATTAAAATGGGACATTATGAACAAAAGTCATAAGACAATAAATATGATGTATTTCAACAAAGATATAAGCAAATGCAATTAAAAAACACATAAGCACCATTTTACAGGGTATTTAACAGCCGTCATCATAGTTTAAAAGATCTTATCTTTATTAGACACAGACAAGCAATGAAATCCTTCCTTTCTTACTTTAGGGGTTGCAAGAGCAAATTCACTATCAACTGACCTATCTTAGCTGGCAAATGAATAAGACAGACATTCAAACTATAACAAAAATTAAAAAATTAAATTTAAAAAATTAAAAAATAAAGTACACTCCCTGCAGTTTCAAAATGACTTAAAATATACAAGGTTTGACTTTGCAAATCAAGGTTAAAGGCTTCATAATACAAGGGGTAAATCAACATCATCACTGAAGAAATGTGGAAAATACTTAAAAAAATACCTGTCAAGTTCAGACCAACCCACCACCCTCAGTCCGTCTTCTTTTTCTTGTCTACTGCTATTACATGGCTCATCCACCTACAAGCCACCAATATGGCCACTGTGAGTATCCCAACTGCCTCCAGCACAACAAATACTCCTGACCAGTTGTAATACTTGGCTACGTAGCTAAGAGGTAAGCCAGCAAGCACAGAGCCAACTGGAAAAGATATATAGAGCTCTTATAACACAATGATTGAATGTGAGAAAGTTGAACAGCAAGCAGAGAGGTTCCAAAATATTTTTTTTTATAAATCGGGTTTTCAGAATCAACAAATAGATAAATCTAAAGAAAGTTAACACAGGTTATACATAAATTGTTAAAACACTATTTGTTCAACATCACTATTTTAAAAAATGTAATGTCGCGCATATTCAAATGGTTTAGTTTTTAATAAAACATTTTAAAGAGTTTGTTATATACAATACATGTAAAGAGTTCATATCAAGCCTACTGACCATTAGATCCAATCCCATACAGTGCATGTGATGTCCCGCTGAGGTGGGGCGGGGCACACTCCACAGCTACCACCCCCAGGAGGGCCACACTGCCGTACAGTCCAAACCCTAGGCCAAAGGCCAGCACGCTGATCCACAGCTGGTAAGATAAAAAAAACATATCTTAGCCTGATAAAAAATCACATAATCTGAAATATTCTAAAAACTATTTCTTTTACCTAATAACTAAATAAATATGCAAAATGTCTTCTACCTCTTAGCCGATGTTACGATATATGCAATACAGGTACTTACAGGTAGAAAAACTTTTTGTTTTCTAAAATCTTTCAGCAGCAATTTGCATTTAAGAAAAGAGATTTATTAATACATCAGATTGTCCACTGACACTCTGATTAAAGCACTATAACTTACTTTCTAAAATTGCAAACTTGTAAGATTTATAAAATTTGTTTAATTATGCAAGATTTAGATTTTTTACAACATTGATTTCTAAGATTAAATAATGTACAACAAAGGTGAACTAGTTCCTACCTGCGAACTCTCTGATGTGACACAGTAGGTAAACAGGTGTAAGAAATTAACAGTGAGAGCACTTAGCGCCAGCACCACAGTCAATCTAGGGTTGAAGGTAGAACCAGGACTTTGCTGAAAATATAATTTGTAAACTAAAATTGCAGGCTATACATTTATTTATATAAAATCATGAATTTTGATGTATAATGATCATACATTTTAATACAGACCACAAAGTGCAAAACAAATTCTGAAATTTTGAACAACTTGGCAGTGTTGGTGTAAATTCTGCTTTGGCAAGTGCTGGTGGAGCAGTCCCACTTGTCTAAGTTTGTCCTCCATATGTTTTAGCACGAGTTAAGGTCTACCATTCTATTTGAGTCATGGAGAGACATGATAATGTATGTTGTGCACCCTGACATATCAAACAGAGATTTTACTGATGACCAAATTTGTAAAGGTGTCTCACAAAATTTTTTCTCTGAAGAATCACATCATCAGTACTACCACATAAAACCCTACTTGAGTAATTCAATAAATGAACAAAAACACTGTGTATCTTGACAACAGTGGATCTTTAAGGATATGAAGGGAATTGGCAGTGGGTCTTACCTTGGCCACTAGTCTATCAGCAATGTAACTTGGTATAATACTTCCAATTGTACCACCTATTCCATAGAGACTCATGAATGTGCTGCCTAAAAACAAGCAAAAAATAACATTTTTCAGTTATTATAATATTACATTCTGATACTCCACTACAATGCTAAGACATTAACAACAGATCAAATAAGTTCAGATTTCACCACCACGATTTTCATAAGTTAAAAATACAAGCATATGGCCATTTATTGCTGAATTCTGAAAGGCCTCAATGTGTAGCAGAGGTGGACAATGTTGTGACAAGTACCCAGTATTCCACAGCTAAAGAATACAACTTGGGGCTTAACACTAGTCATGTTTCAAAACTTATGCTCACTTCTGCAACTTGATAATGCTTTTCTGAGAGCCATTAGCCACTACCCAAAGCCCTGATCAGACTGGCATGTGGTACTGATGTTGTCACTTTAACATGCACTAATCAGTTGTAGTTGTATGAGCTATCTGGTTGTCTTTTGACACATGCTAGTCTAGATCTAGTTCTAAGTTAGACCATCTTGGACCATGGCTCTAAACCTTAAGGAGTTCACTGGTACCAAAAACAAACCTTACAGGATCATCATTTAGTTGAGCTGAGATCATCGAGTATAAATCTACTTAAAGCATTATTATTATTATTTTTATTTATTTATTCATTTATTTTTTTTTTTTTTTGGGGGGGGGAGGGGGGCTGATTTTGGCCAATTTGCTTAAACATTCTGGGTAATACAGAAATACATTAAGTTGAAGGTACACTAGTACAGCCAATAACATGAGAAGCTGCAACTTTCCTTCACATTTGCATGTAGAAAAGGCCATTCTCCACTCACCTACATAGTTGCTCTGTTCTCTATCTTGTATGAGATATAACTGACCCCAGTCTATCACAGCTGTAGTGGTCCCCAATATTAACAATATTAGAAGTGAGATAACCCAGAGAAATGGACTGGCTATGAGATCTCTCCATGTGGCAGTGCTATTTTCTAAAGAATCTGAAATATGGAATTCAAAATGTGCATTTCAATATATTTCAATATATATATATAAAGTTCAGGTGGTGCTTATTAAAATTATTCAAATTTTCACATTTCAAAGATTTTGTTCAGTATAATGATACAGCAACACATACATTGATAGTAAACTGAATCTGCTATTTTTAAAAGAAACGTTCATAATTTTATCTTATAGATAACTGCTCTGTAACCTTTATGCAATGTTTTTGTGGTAGCTAAAAACTAGACCTAAGTCTTTTTTGATTATTAAAGCTTTTTTAGTTAACGTTTTGTACCTCCTTTAGATTTTTTGTCATCATCTTTCTTCTCTGAGGCAGCACCCTGTATATCATAGTCTATCCCAACTGATTTAGGGGAGTTCTTGATGGCAAAGAAAACAATCATGGCAAATATACATGTTGTTACACCTGCAGTTCAATAAAAACATGGTTATACAGTATATAATACTGTAGCCTTGTAATATGGAAATACTGGTATTTGAACAGATACGTATGCCAATATCTGGGTATTTAAAATGAAAATAGCATAATGTATTATTTATTTCAAAACTTTAAAAAATTATTAAAATTGTTCAACTCTTTTCACTATTTGTTCTAGACTGTTTTTTAATTCTGTCTCTCTGATATCTAAATTAGTAAAGTCTTTTTCAAGGTAATCATTCAAGCATAATGAAATATCTACTTAAACAGTTGCAATACGTATACAGTGTTTACCAAGTGCTGTACACTGTACCTTGTAGTTTCATATAAAACCTCCAGTCATAATGGAGCATGATAAACATGGCTATAAAAGGCCCTAAGCTGTTAGCTGCATTCATGGAGGTTGACAGCACTCCCCACCATGTGCCAAATGTTGCTGGGCTGAACCACTGGAACATGTACAGTGACAACATGGGTTACTGAAACCACTGATAAATGTACAATGACACCAGGGTTAGTTAACCACTGACACAACACTGGGCAATTACTTGTAATAAGTTGCAATTTTCGAACACTTGGCTCTTTACTATGTTTGAATTTTTTTGAGATTTTTCATATTAACTTATAATAATTTTAATTGCACCCTCTGACATGAGGTCAATTAATTTTAATAAATATATAATTTACAATTCTATGGATCATTACAAAACATTGTTAAAAAATATATAAATTTACTTTGTATAAATGTAATGGGCAATTAAGGTGTTCCTTTGACATATATATATATATATATATATATATATATATATATATATATATATATATATATATATATATATATATATATGTTAAAACAATTTGAATTTCAATTACATTTTGCTTGGTGAAGGACATTTATACTTCTTATACATCCTTGGCTTGGTGAAGTATGTGATACAGCTTTAGCCATTTTTAAAATCATTGAAATATTAAAAGCATGAAAGAAGTGTTAATTTGGTTGATTATCTGAACGACTGACAATAATTAGAAAATATCTGCTGTTGGTCTAAATCACAGCAACGCAAGCAGCATTAATAGTTTTGCTTGGACTATACCCCAGAATCCACCTGTGTTTTAAATAAATTGGATTCCACACAATTAATAAAAGACTCACATGTTTGAGTACTTTTACACAAGAGGGCCATCCTGCACCCTGAGATAGGCCATTCATAAACCAAATTCCAACAAACAGCCATACTTGCGATGTCTCTGAAAATAAATAAATAAAAATTAATTTGCATCTCTTTACTATAGTTTTACACAAAAGGAGGCTCAAAATAAAGCAATAATATCTCATAACAGATGCTTCTTTTAATGACATCAGATATGTGGATATTTGTGCAACAAAAGTTGCATTATCTGAAAATGTTCTATCAAATAAAATGATCAATACAAAATAAAGAAACCCAAAAGGGTTTGTACTTCACTAAAATTATAAAAATACAAACAACTAACATAATTCAATGATTAAAGCTAACACCATGAAGAGATATCTTACCTGAAAATATGGTGACAGCCACACCTGAGAAGAACAAACCCACAGAGAACAGAATATTGGGTGGGATTCTGTCAGACAGCACACCTGCCAGAAACTTACTAATTGTGTAAGCTACATAATTACTGCTTAGAACCATACCTGGATTTATGCACAAAAAAAGATAAAAAATTATCAGTATAAGTTTCTATTTAAAAGAAGTAATAACTAGTATATACAAATTTTGTTATCATGGAAAGTAACTCAAAGTAGAAAATATAACGTGTTGTCTGGGGACAAACTGATCTATAACAAAATTATAAAATAAAGTAAATATCAACAATATGCTGGTATACATTTAAATAGACATTTTAATCAAAATTAACAATAATTAATAATAAAATATGTATTAAATCTATGATTGCATCATATGAATATGCAGCCCCTACTGACTTAATTCAATTAATATCATTCTGCAGTATTTAATTATTACCTAAATCACTTTTGGATAGTCCCTCTTGCTTTATCATTACTGGCAGTGCAAAACTGAAAGCTTTTCTGTTCATCATGTAAAAGGCGTAGCCTATGTACATGCTTACAAAGTTGGAGATCTGGTAGCCTAACAGGGACCTTTCTGTTGCCATCTTGAATGTTGATGAATCCACTGCATATGCTGATGTATAAAAAATATAGTTACACAAATGATGACAATTCAAACAAATAGACAGAGGTCCAACTAAACCACTGTGACATAACACACTGTTACATACAAAGATATATTTTATATACACATTTCTACATAAGAATCATAATATGTGGACAGATTCATCCCATGCATTCACCCCCATCTTACCAGGATCAGGATTCTGTATATTCCAGGAAGAGAACACAAAGTGGTAGAAGAAGGATTGGCACAGATAACAATGGCAACTATGTAAAGGATATGAGCCATATGACTAAATGTCATCAATCACAAATGTAACAGTGGCCCATCAAGGATATTACTCCTTCTACTATTTATTATGGATACCAGGGATGAGGACTGCCATTTATATAGTGAAAAAGTCAAAATATACATGTATGCTGTGGGGTCTTAGGGGCCACCTATTAGTGCTAGTGGGCCAATATTTTAGACTCCCAAAAATTCAGAAATCCACCGTTATTCGGAAAAATATCATCTCTGTGTTACACTAGGAGGGAGAAGGGTATACCTGTGAAGTTGGGGGAGGGAGGCATGTGGCCTAATTAATAAACTGCCATGTCAAATATGGTGCGTGTGAGGAGGGGGGGGGGGGGGGGG